GTCACTTTTTGTACCTTTAACATTTCCCGTGTAAGATTTTTAAATACTTTCTGAATATATTTTGCAATTATAGTTATAAAAAAAAAATAAAACATATTTTCCTAACACAATCATATTTTAAAGTTATTTTGATATTTTCAATAATTGTTAAGTTTAATTAAAATAATAATGTAATACGTAATACGTAATGTTAATGATAAAAATTACGTCAAAAATGTTTATTGGGATGGTTACTTTATTTTCGTATAGATGTCGCTTTATAACTTAACATTAACAATAACACACAGCTTATCAATTGCAAACGATAAGTCGGATAGGTACCTACTACCCAACATCTGTCAAAAGAAATTAACTTCACTTTTTCCCAATTAAATAATTTTTCCTTTATTTCTTTATTTTTTTCAATGAAACTGATTTAATAGGAGTAAAATTTGGTTCCCAATATATGAACAATATTTAAATTCATATTTATGTACAGGGGGATCCCTTATAATGTCGCCCCCCTTTAACTTTTTTATTTTAAATGTCCCAAAAAATTTAAATGAATGGTTATGTAGGTACTAACAAATGCCTTTTTTCTACGTATAAAAAAATGGAAAATTGATCAATATATAGGGAAAAACAAAAAGTTTATTTTTTTTAATGGATCACCCTATATATGAATTTATTTTTTGATTCCTTGTAAAATGCTAAGCATAATTCATATAACAAACCATATACCTAAACTCAACCATTTCTGAAATATTCGCATTCGAAATGTTATCATTAAATGTTTTTTAAACTGTTAGAAATCAGGAAGCCTCAGTATACCAAAATTTTTATTGAAAATAAATAACTATAGTGACATTATTTTAATATGTCTTGTTAAATAAGTAAAAATGGCGTACTCAGACAGAGAAAGACAAAACTATTTTAACTTATTATCTTAAAAATAATTTAAATATTTTAGAAACAGTTGAATTTAGGTATATGGTATGTTATATGAAATATGCTTAGAATTTTACAAGCAATCGAAAAATAAATACATATATAGGGTGATCCATTGAAAAAAAATAAACTTTTTGTTTTTTCCTGTATATTGCTTAATTTTCCAATTTTATTTATACGTAGAAAAAAAGTATTTTTTAGTACCTACATAACCACGCTTTTAAATTTTTTGGGACACTTAAAATAAAAAAGTTAAAGGGGGGCGACATTATAGGGGATCACCCTGTACATATGTATGTATCATCAGTTTGTAAACATAGCTTTAGTTCTATTCCTTCTTCTTTAATATTTTCATTATTCAACTAATGTTCTGATTTGGAAAAAAATAATTGTTGCACGCTTTTTTCTTAACCGTAGTTTTTGATTAACAACTATTTTAACTATTTTAAATTTTTATTTTTTTCGGATACAAAACAAAATTCCAAAAAGGTTTTAAAATAAAAAAAAATAAATTGGAAATTTTTCTTTTTTGATACATATGTAACAACAATTTTTAGACTCTATTTGATACTGAAGTTTTTAAACATAAATAAATGTTTAATTTTTCAAACATATCTCTACTACTACTTGTTATTTTTAAACTTTGTATATTAATTTTAACTCAAAAATCCTACTTATTTATGTCATTAGACTGAGAAGGGATTTTTTTTGTGATGAGATCAGTTTGTACAATTGAGCGAAGCACAACCCAAATGTCACACAATATTTTATCTTCACAATTTTATTTTTTAAATGATACGTAAAACGTACAAATATAATAATATTTATTAACTGAGGTTAGGTAGATCTGACAATTATCGAATTTTTTGATTGGTCCAAACGGGTTTTTTACAGCCTAGGCAATAATTAACCAATTAAGTAGCAAATTTTTAGATTTATAAATTTTATAGTGATAAATTATTTTTAATGATTTAACATACTTTTATTTTTTATATTAAAGCGCATAATTTAATTTTTACATTTATACATTAATTTAGTTTATTTATTAATAATATTATTATTATGTATTATCTTTAAAACTTTATTAAACAATAAAACATTTAATCACAATTAATTTTTTTTAAGTTAGCACGAAGGGATTCATTTCACGTTTAGAAAAGCGTTTTGTGTGAAATCGTTTATCTATGCTAGAATCGGCAGACTAAAAAACTTTCCATTACTAAGTAGACTTTTTATAATTTATTTTAAATTTAATAATTAAAATCAGTAATAAGTTATGGAAAAATCTTGAGGGAACACGCAATTTTTTGCGCATAATTATTTAATTAACAGAGCATTTATTGGGGATGGTAAACAATAACTAAGGTTAATTTAAAATAAGAAAAATTGATTGAAAACGAAATGTTATGTATGTATTAATTAGTTAGTTCAATTTCTCTCTAACGCTTTTTTAATGTTATTTAAAAAAGTACTACATTTTCATTTACTTTCCCTTGAAACGATATATATACATATATATATATATATATATATACTTGGTTTGATAAAGAAATTGTTACCTTTACTTTGACCCTTTGAAGAGTTCAAACTGTTTACTTTCTTTCAATTATCTTTTGGCTTTAATAATAATCTTTTTTAAATGTAAGTTTTAAAGTGGTTTTTCTACTACAGCCAAATTCATAATTGTTAGTTGGGTTATGAGTTTAGTACGACAAAGATGTCTTCACAAGCGTTTGAAAAAAATAATGTATTAATAATTTTTCTGTTTTTTGTGGTTTTTAATATGACTTCTGGTGGTTTGGTTGATTATAAAAGAGGACGATGCCTTTGGAAATCACAAAATACGTCTTTTAATGGCGAAATAGAGAATAACTGTACGTAATCTTTTTTATAACCTATTAAACAATATTAGTATTTTTGTGTTAATTAGTGAAAATTCCTAAAATCTAAGCAAAATTAATTAGGCCTTTATAACCAAATTATATAATAAATTAATTACCAGTTTAATGAAAGTACCTATATGTAAGTCGTAATAGAATTGGAAAACAAATAATTTACTTTTAATTTAATATCCAACAAACAACATCCAACAATATTACTTTAAAAAGTATCAATTTCATTACTTTTACTTAGAGGTTAAGCATTCTCCAAATACATATCACAATATTTAATGAGTCCTACTCAGTAAACAAATACAATATCAATATTTAACAGGAATGTTATAATATAATAATTAAATTCCATATAATCCATTCCAGTTCGGTAGCCCAAACTAACTGGGACATTTTTGCATTGTTGATATTAAAATTTGTAAAATATTTGGTCGATAGGAATCCACTTCATTTTGACACTGCTGTCAATTTTTGTTCCTGTCATTATTTATCATTTTATTTATTAATTACAATTAAATAACACACCATTCTGAAATCATTATATTATAAAGAAATTTAATACAATATAATTATCAGTACACAGCACTTACTGATGTATTTTGTAACTTTAACCCACTTCACTGTATGTCACAAGTGTGTAGGTTATTTTTGTGTTCTGTATGTAGGAATGTGTTAATTGTTTTATTTAGGAAATTGATTAATAAAGCAACATTTATTATCATTTTTTTTTCATTTAGGTTCCCCATTTTCAACAAATACTTTTGTTACTGAATCTATAAAAGTTATGTTGACCGGAATTATTATTTTTTTACAAACTACAAACTCAAGTCGATGGTTATTTGACAAAACATCGTAAGCGACAAAACCTAAATTTTACAGGAGAGATTTTTTTTGCGTGGGAGCTTTATTTTTAAAGTTATTTATCTGAAAACTGTTGAGGCATTATTTTATTAATGTAGAATTCAAATATTTAAGTAAGATCGAATCCAATCTAAAATTTTCATTAAATTTTGTGGCATACGATATTTTATAAAAACATCTTTAGGAGAATTTAAAATTAGTCTTGTCACTTCAGTTACATTTACGTTACTTTGTGGGATATAGATTTGATGATTACTTTTGTCAAAACATCGTTAGCGACATTTATTTTTTTACTTTTATTATTAAATAAAAAAAATTACAAACAAATTAATTTATAAAATATCACCAACGATATTTTGCCAAACAATGTTTGAAAATAAAATTCTACATTAGCTTTCTTTGAAAAAAAAACGAACGATTTTTATTCATAAACCAGTATCTAACCCATGGAGCCTACACAAGGAGCCCGAACTTAATAGGGGAAATTGACAAAACCTGCCCTTTAAATTGTACCTACAATTTAAGTTTCTTTTTTTCGCCACCATCGGCGCTGATTGTCGATGCTAGCGTTTCGGTATAAATTAAACAATTGTTTCAGAATAAACGGAACACCAGCGCCCTCTTATCTTAGATTCTTGTTTACATGATGTTCGGACTCCTTGTGTAGGCTATATGATCTAACCCATGGTACTATGATCCAACCGTTATAAATTTGACGCTATAACAACATACAATTACTACAAAAAACACTTTTAACGAACCCCACTACTTAAAAATAATTATAATTATAATTAGGATAACTTAATAATGCAATGAAAAAATGGAATTATAAGCTTTTGATCAAATAAAATATTGTTTTAAAACTTGGTAGCAATCACCACGATGCAGGTATACCACCGAATAAACTGTTTAGAGCGGGAATAACGCCTTGATAGATCAAGGCGGGAGCACAATATTATCGTAAGCGACACAATGTTAAATCGCAAACGCCATTTCTCGGAGTTGCTTACGATTATTTGTCGGGAACATATAGGCGCTTACGTTATAAATTATAAACAAATTAAAAAGAAGAAGCGCTTACAATAATAAAAATATTTAAACTGACCAATATTAGATTCGAAAATTGGGATAACTATTATGTTAACATGTGCAGCTTATCGTTACTGACACTTTGATAAAATAAAAAGTAATTCAACAAAATTGTCGCTTACGATGTTTTGTCAAATAACCATCGATGTTTACAAATCTGATTTTTATAACAGTGTATAAGCTGTAGAAACACATTTCTATCAAATTAACACTTTTTTAATGTTGTTCCAGTGATTCCCCAATCTTGCCGTTACAAAGGGGTGAAGTACGAGTGCGGACTGAGCATTAGCTGCGTCCTGGGCGGCGGCCGCCCTCTGGATCTTTGCTCGGGCGGCATGATTTGGGCCTGTTGCGTCGATAGGGACTCGCCCGGACACACCCCTACGGTCCATCAACCCGATGTAGGTGTCCTCAATAATGCTAGTAAGTTTTAGGTTCAGAGAGGATTGATTGTATTGAAAATAAATATCTATCGGAAAGATGAGATCAAATGGTATGAAAGATAAGTTCAAATAAAATGCACTTTCAAGATTACAAGTAGATTACAAACTCGATTACAAATGAATTTGTGAACTATCCAGTTTTTACTGTTTTCGTAGAAACGATGTTTATTTGAACTGGAAAAGGTTTTAAAAGAAAATGATATGATAACTATGTATTTGGTAAAATAAATATTAAAAATGGTAAATCCTTTTTAATAAAGATATAAAATATATACGAGGAGTGTTCAGAAAATAACGGGAATTGTTAAATTTCGCGGATTCGGAGGGTCCGGTTGTCACAAAATTTTCTTTATTATGTTGGAGTATGATAAAAAGTTTAGCTGTTTTCATTGTTTACTTTTTCTGTGGCAGCCGCTAAGGTAAGACGTGTTTTATTACCTCGGCGATTTTTCGTTCGGTAAAAGAAATGAATTAAAGAATTTGTATCCAATTTTGCTTAAAAAATAAAATAAATTCTGTGAAATGTTAACAAAGGCCTATAGTGAGTCTGCTATAAGTAAAACAAGAGTTTACAAGTGGTATAAGAGTTTCCAAGATGGCCGTAAATACGTTGACACATTAACAACCGATAAAAACATGGAAAAAGTGGAAGAAATGGTTATAAACCATCAGAGAAGTCGCTGTTGATGTTGGTATATCGATTGGCTCATCCCATGAAATTTTTTCGAATGTTTTGGGTATGAAACGCGTGGCAGCAAAATTTGTTCCAAAATTGTTGAATTTTATACACAATTTTTTGCCAAAAACAATACTGTAATGATGCCCCAGCCTACATATTCGCCAGACATGGCTCGGTCTGACTTTTTCCTATTCCCCAAAATAAAGAGAACCTTAAAGGGCCGTCGTTTTGCAAGCATAAATGACATTAAAAGCGCATCCCAAAGATCGTGTTTTAGAAGAGTAAAAGTGCATAATATCTAATGGGGACTATTTTGAAGGCGACAACTTTAATTTAGACGAATAAATAAATACTTAAAAAAAAACTAAAATTCCCGATATTTTCTGAACACACCTCGTATATATTTGATATTGCGAGTAGTTAAAAACCACCGGCAAAAATATCCCAATTGTAACAAGACAAATTTAGTTTGATTCTAAGATAGTGAAAAAAGTACTTAAGTTATGGAATAAATTTTTTTATTTTAATTGGAATTTTTTTGAAACATAATAACTTTACACAAAAAACTATTTTTGTGTCAAAATGTCCAAGGGGAGCATTTCGAACATCTAATTTAATGTCTAATTGAAAATTAGTTAATAAATGAAAACCTTATACTTAATAAATGAAAACAAAAATTTGACTTGATAATTAATTTTATTTAAACGTTAGCAACAATTAAATATACGTTGAATAGAAAATTAAAATACCTTTCAAATGAGGTAGCACAATCTCCCCTTTTCATTTAATATTTTTAGGTTGATACTGCCATATTGGCACTCCTTAAATAGGCACCTATGAATTTGACGTCAAAAAGTAGTATAATTAATATCCTTGACAATCGATGTCGATACCTTGTTTTGTTCAATAGATAACAGGGGAGGAAAGAAGAAATTCATAAAGAATTCCCTGATTTTGCATAATCTTTTTAATGTTAATTTTTGCAAATGTATGCCTTTTTTGTATATGGCACTTAAAAAACATTGTTAGTAGTCTTCTGAATATTAAGAATTGATTTTTTTACCTATTCTTAGCAAGAATGAATGTAAATAGACAAATAATCGCAATTTATCTGCTGAAGAACGTGCCATTGCTATTACTATTCATCAAGAAGGTGGAAACCAGGTTAACATTACTTACCGTCTATGTGACAGTACAACGGTTTAATCAAACAGGTAGTTACGCTAGAAGACCAGGACAGGATCGCAGAAGAATAAGTAGGTGTTATAGTGTGTCAAGATCGGTTTATGAGACTGAAAGCACTCAGATAAGATTTTGTAACGAGTTCTACGCTCATAAGTGACAGCCAAGGGCAAAGAAGACAATGTTATGCCATACAGAGTAGCTACTGACCTTTATTAACTGCAGATCATACCTTCACTGGATAAAAGCCGATTGGACTCGAGTGCTCTATAAAGATAAGTCTAGATTTTGCCTTATAGGTAACAACAGGCCAATGAGGGTTTATAAATGCTTGTCATTGCTAATGAGGCTCATCTGTGAAGAGTACTTGCCTCTTTTGCTCCAGTAAATTATATTTCTGAGCGCTGAACTCGTCACATACCTATCTCATAATATATTATATGTGTAGTTATCACCTGTTTGATTGACATTTATTCTTGCTTTGAATCTGAAGATTAAATGAAAATATCCAGAAGAAGACTTTGACCGACAAACTATAAAGCAATAGAGCATTTGAACATTTTAAAATTGTGAATTGATTAGATACAAATTGTCAGGGCCGGCTCCAGGGTACGTGCAGCCGTGCCCCTGCACGAGGCGGCAAAATTCGAAGGGCGGCAAAAATCGAAAGGTGGCAAAAAGTTATTCAATACAACACGATATAGGTTCTAAATTAGATATTTCCAATTTAATTTTAAGTTAAACAGATTTTTCTTATTTTTACTACTGGTCAGTTTTATAATGTTAGATAAAATAATTATTATTAGAATATATTACTGTTTTTTTAGAATGCGATGATATTTTATTTATTTGTTATTAAATAATAATTTTTTAAACTTTTTTGTAAATTTTATCTTCCCCTTAATGCTACAACTGGATAAATCGAAATTTTACGAATCCAGTTCTACTAAATACTTACATACCAATTTTAGAATATTTTATTTACAAATGTGTTTTTTCAGATATCCAATTGTAGCATGAAGGGGACGATATTATTTAAGTGGTTTTTTTTTAAGAATTGTACGGTACAATTTGTACCTAATTAATAGGCACTAAAAAGTAGGTAACTATGAGGGGCGGCAAAAATATTTTTGCACGGGGTACCAAAATGTCTGGAGCCGGGCCTGCAAATTGTCCTTATGTTTTAAAAGCGTAGAAATCCAAAATTTTATCAATAGTTATACATATGACTTTATTGGGAAAAAATATTTTTTTTTTCTGTTATCTCATTTTTTTTAAAAACTCACAAGGTACAGGGTGTTTCCTTATAATGTCGCCCCCCTTTAACTTTTTTAAGTTAAGTGTCCCAAAAAATTTAAAAGTGTGGTTATGTAGGTACTAAAAATATTTTTTTTATTTTTTTTTAATGGATCACCCTATATATGTATTTATTTTTCGATTCCTTGTAAAATTATAAGCATATTTCATAAAACATACCATATACCTAAATTCAACCGTTTCTGAAATATTTAAATTATTTTTAAGACAATACCATTCATTATAATTATAACCAATAAAATGCCAGTATTCCATAGTTACGCATTTTATCACAGCGACAATATTTTTTATCACCTTGTTTACAAGTTGCTAAGGATTTTGACACTTTTCTTGATTTGAAATTTGTTGACATTTAAATACTTTGTTTGTTAAATGATTAAAATAATGAATTATAAACTCTAAAAGATCGATGGGTTGGTGTAAACGATAATAAAATTATGGTAAGTTTGAATAAATAAGGTTTATTAAAGTATTTTTATATTTTAAAGCACATTTTAATTTCAATTCGTTAAATCCTAAAACTCATTATATTTTCTCACTAAATATAACTCGTGGTATGATTAATTATCGATGATATTTACTCATTGAAACCGAAGCAGCACATTTCACTCGTCCTGCGGATTCGTGAAATCTGCAGCTCAGTTTCAATTCCAAAATATCATCGATGATAATCATACCACTTGTTATATTATGGGTGATAATAAGTTAAAATAGTTTGTCTTTCTCTGTCTGAATACGCCATTTTTACTTATTTAACAAGACTTATTGACATAATGTCACTACAGTAATTTATTTTCAATAAAAATGTTGGTATACTGAGGCTTCTTGATTTCTAATAGTTTATAAAAACATTTAATGATGACATTTCGAATGCGAATATTTCAGAAACGGTTGAATTTAGGTACCTATATGGTTTGTTATATGAATTATGCTCAGTATTTTACAAGGAATCGAAAAATAAATTCATATATAGGATGATCCATTTGAACAAAAATAAACTTTTTGTTTTTCCCTGTATATTGATCAATTTTCAGTTTTCGGCTTGATTTACCTAACATTTCAGATTTAAAACTCCGATAGAAAATTTCGCCAATCGAATTTTTTTTGCATATGAGCAAAATAGTTTTTTGCAATCTTCAAAACTATACCCATGCGGATAAATTTGTAAATATCATTTTTTTTAAAAGTTAAATTCACTAAAATTTACTTTTGCTCTATATAATGTTTTCACCTCTAAATCTAAAAAACGAGTAAAAAAGTTAAGCATTGTATTTTTTTAATAATTTATATAGAATATATTTTAAAGACACATAGTTGCACATTTTTGCAAATAAATTTAAGCAATATTGCTAAAATTACATACTAGTATAATATCATATTTTATAATTATTTTGTAATATGATGGTAGCCATATACACTGTAAATTATACCATTTTAAAAATATTTGTTAAAGTTATTGGCCTATCAATAATGATAAATGATGCAATTTTATGTAATATTTTGTAGTAAAGTTAGTAAACAATATAATAAACTATAATTACAATTTTATTGTAAATCACATACTTATATTATTTTATAATAAACCACCTAAAATAATATAAATGTTATAGGTGTGTTATGAATTTTACCATATTTAAAGATTCAAAATATTTTTTACCAAATTCAATTTTATCGTAAAATGTATTTTGTGTTAACGCGATTCTATTCATACAATTTTAATTTTAATTATTAATTTATTTGTTATATATTTAATAGTCATATTTAATTAACATATTCATTTATTAAAAATACAATGGATATTA